AAGAGTAGAAATCTGCATTTTAAATTGAGATTTTAAAAAATCTGGCCCTTTAAGATAGCAAGACAGGTAGAGGTTGAAATATTAAAAATAAGATGTGTAGTAAGTTAAATATGTTTGAATATAGGCAGATATAGAAAAGAAGGAAATGAAGAAGACAAGAAGGGAGGAGAGGGGGAGCGATACAGAGAGATACTTAAAGTCAGACAGAAGTTTAGGTTGACATGAAAATGAATATGTGTTCCATTGGTTCAAAGTTCATTTTTTCCGACAAGTTCTCATAACCAGAATATACAAGGAACTTACAAGCCTAACAACCAAGTGAATCATTAACTCTAATAAATAAATGGGCAAGTTAGCTAATTAGACATTTCTCACAAGTAAAAAATGGCCATTAAATACATGAAGACATTCTCAGCATATTCAGCCATAGAGGAAATAGAAAGCAAAATAACCAAATGAACCAACAACGAATGCTGGAAAGCATTCTGGGAAAAAGGAGTCTTGACACACTGTTGCTGGAAATGTTAGTCTAAACACTATGGAAGGCAATATGCAGATACGTGAAAAAAGTAAGTCTTGAAGTTGCCTAATAGCTGATAACTAGTGTATTGATATTGTCAGAGGTTATGTGGTTTGGCTATTTGGGGAAACCTGTTGGGGATTCATAGAAATGAACAATCCTACTTAGACATGCTCATATTTTCTGTATTGTAAATGACAGCAATTTAGCTCCTTCTAGATAAGCCCAACTTTTATATCTTGCTACAAGAAGATCAGTGAGTAACCAGCTGGTAGAGATAGGGTCTTTTGCTGTCTATGATGGCTTTTACAGCTATATTTCTCTAAGCCTGTGAGAATAGCACTTCTCTGAGGGAGTCTTTATATGTGTGTTAAAGTAGACAGAGAACCAGCTTTCACAGAGTCTTAAGCTTGTCCATGAACTCAGAGATCAATAAATCCAGGGCCTGATGTTATTCTAAGTATTCACTTGATGTAAATGACAAATAACTACAGAAAAAAAATCTCATAAAAGGAAATGCAAATATTTAATATAAAGATGTGTTATTATGTGTGTTATTTCATTGAATCATATAGACTATAACTTAGATGATGTAATAATATCATTTTATAGAAATCACAAATTCTAAGAGCAATAAAAATATCAGTGCCAAGCAATATATGTGTATGTATACAAATATATGTGCATATATACACATATACATACACTATATACCTACATATACATACACATATACATACACTAATATATTACATATTATACATATTAGTGGTTACTCTATTTAAGGAAAAAATGAAAATGTGTTTGGATTTAATATGTATATTCTTTTTGCATACCCATTAATTATTAGCTGTGTAAATTTAAAGTAATTATTGATCCTCAGAGGTCATTTCATCTGGAAGTTGACCTTATGACAAAGATTAATGATATTTTTTTGTTGTTGTTTTAAAAAAGCAATCTTAACCCAGATGTGGTTGTGCAAATACGGGAATAGGGAGTTTGAGAGTTTGAGGCCACCTTGGGTTATACAGAGAAACTCTTATAAAGAAAGGAGGTAACAATGCTCGCTATGAAATGTACTCATTACCCTACTTAGGTAACTGTAACCCTTCTGTACAACACTTTTATAATAATAAAAAAAAGCTCAAAAAAAAAGAAAGGTAAGGAGGGAAGGAAGGAAAGAAGGAAGGAAGGAAGGAAGGAAAGAAGGAAGGAAAGAAGGAAGGAAGGAAGGAAGGAAGGAAGGAAGAAAGGAAGGAAGGAAGGAAGGAAAGAAGGAAGGAAAGAAGGAAGGAAGGAAGGAAGGAAGGAAAGAAGGAAGGAAGGAAGGAAAGAAGGAAGGAAAGAAGGAAGGAAGGAAAGAAGGAAGGAAGGAAAGGACAGAGGGAGGGAGGGAGGGAGGGAGGGAGGAAGGGAAGGAAGGAAGGAGAGGAAAAGAAGAAAGGAAAGAAAGAAGAGATGAAGACAGGAAACAAGGAAGAATAAGTTGCACTTGAGAATTTTTATATGACAGAATAAAAGGATTAATAGAATGGATATAGGGTTAGTTAACATGTAATAAGCTCTGTTTTTAAAAATATGTGGATTTTATGGGATTTCATGAAGTTAGCAGAGCTTCTGCATGGCAAAGGGCATATAGCTAGAAGGATCAATAGAAAGCCCAGGGATTGGGAGAAGATGTTAGGGGAAATGAACCCCAAGATAAGGATTCAAATGTTTTTTTCTTTCTTGCTATTGTTCCTAACATATTTATAAGGTGATTGTTTTGTTGCTTTGTATGTTCCTCCCCCATGGTATTACCCCTGTTTTCACTGTATTTTATGTTGGTATAATTTGGGGAGGGGAAAGGAAAAAACAAATTTTTTAAATAGGGATACAGGTGGACCCATTGCAACAATGAGATGTACAAAATTCTATGTTGAAATATGTACTTTACAACTTTGGTGGGGGGAGGAGTGTAGTCGTGGAGATGGGAGGGCAGGCATGGTAGGGGAAAAACAAAGGAGGAGGCAACAATGCTTGATAAGAAATGTATTTACTATCTTGCTCATGTAATTGTACCCCTCTGTATGGTATTTTCACAATAAAAAACTTATTAAATAAAAAATGTGGATTTTATTATACACAAACACTCCTTCAACCCAGTAGATTAAAACATATTGCATAAAAAGACACTACAATCAGTCTTAATTATTAGGAGAGGGGTTAAAGATGACAGGCAGAATGGTAGCTAAGACTATACATATAAAAATGGGGACAGGGACTGGGAAGGTGGCTCAGTGGTAGAGCGCTTGCCTTGCATGCAAGAGGCCCTGGGTTCGATTACTCAGCACCACATAAGCAGAAAAATCCAGAAGTGGCATTGTGGCTCAAGAGGTAGAGCAATAGCCTTGAGCTGAAGAGCTGAGGAACAGCTCCCAGGCCCTACAACTGACAAAAAACGAAAGGAAAATTGGAAATACAAACTATTTTTGATTTTTGACAGAAGAGGGTAAATGGACAGAAGCATCCTTGATATCCAAAGTGATAATCAGCATATTTTGCAATCACTGAGTTGTAACAAAAAAGATTGATAATTATGGACTGATACCTAAGATTCTTCATGGAGTGAATTGGTAAAATAAATGATACTGCTGTTTGTGTCAAGCACAGAGGTCTTCCCATCTGCAGATTGCCAAGATAGGTGTGTTTATTTTGAATATGATAGCACACTTGCCTTGAGGATGCTTCATAGAAGATGTGTCAGTGGTATAGGCTACAGTTTTGATTTCAGAATGAATTCTTTCCCACCTATAAATTAGAGAATTATTAGCATTGAAGCGAGAATTATAATGCCGCGTGGATGAGATCACCCACTTGGAGATGTTAGGAGTAGAAAAGAAATTATCTGCGGACACATAAAAATATGAATATTTATGACAGAGGAAGTCAACTCCGTGAGGGAAGCACAGAAAGATAAAAGAGTGAATAAAGAAAACTGGAGTCACTGAAGTCAAAAGAATAGAGAACATTTTGAGAAGGGCAACATCGATAATGTCAAATAGAGCTGAGAGACCTGATAAAGAGTCCATTTAGATGTGAAACATAGTGAATTTGGCACCAATAATGGACTTTGGCTGTGGAGAAGAGAAAGAAACAGTCCACTAGTAGTTAGTGTGTCTGTGTTAAAATCCAGACTTAGTAAGTGCTGTACAGCACAGAATACATTTTCTTATTACGTTTGTGTTCACCATGAACCTGAACATCCTCTCCTGCAAAATGAGAATGTCAAACAAAAACAGGGTGTAGAAAGAATAAAAGGCAATAATGTTCATGATTTTTTTTAAAACTTGGGATAGTTTTGTGGATATGTTATTTAATGGGGCATGCTATTTTGCATGAGGGGAATGATGCTAAGAATTCAAGTGTTCATTTTAAATTTTCATCAGAGAAGAGGCAGTTCATGCTGTAGTAGATAACTATCAAACATCAACCTGAGTTAGTACCGTTAAATGTGATTTCCCACATCTGTGCTATATATCCAGCAGGAGCTGGTAATAAGCTGGTCACCTCCCAGTCACATCATGACGTAATCAGGGAAAGGATTTCTTTGGCCTGGTAGCAACAGGCCAATGTTTCTTATATGTTTTACAGAAATAATTAAATACTTAATTATATTCAATAAGAGAAGTGCATGGAAGTCCAGTTTTCTCATGCCCTTTAAGGAATAGCAGAAGCAAAAATACTAGGGGTAAACAGGAATTCCTCTATGAAACTCTAATAAGATCCTCTGATACAAAATAAGATGATATTATGGGTGCAAATAGAAAGACACTAAAAAGAAATGTTTGATCTTCTGGCATCAATGAATGTTGGACTACTTTTTCCCTGTTTTTTTTTTTTTTTAACGATGTAACGATATCTAACCACTTAGTAACTAAGCATAACCTTTCTGCTTGAAGAAATTAGTCTTGAAGTGGATACTAGATAAAATAAACATGGATTGGAATTCTGGATAGAGATTGCAACTACTGGCCCAAAACTATCTCTTTCTATTTATATAATGAAGATAACATATGAGTTTAAGGTACTTTCTCAATTCTAAAATGACATAAATAAAACTGGTAAGCAAAATTCCCTAAAGAGAACTGTCCCAACATTTATAAATCATTTACATTTTTGTACCCTTGCCATATTCTATTAGGTTTTGAAATGAGCACCTTTTTGTCTATTTTTTTTTTTTTTTTTTGTCATTTGTGGGGCCTGAACTCTGGGCCTGGGCACTGTTACTCAGCTCTTCAGCTAAAGGTTAGTGCTCTACCAATTGAGCCACAGCGCCACTTCTGGCTCTTTCTGCTTATGCCGTGCTGAGAAATTGAATCCAGGGCCTCGTGCATGCAAGACAAGCACTCTACCACTGACCCACCTTCCCAGCCCTTTTGTCTAATTTTTTAAATTTTTGTTGTCAAGGTGGTTTACCGAGGGGTTACAGTTACATAAGTCAGGTAATTAGTATATTTATTTTTTAACAGTATCATCCTCTCCCTCATTCTCTCCCAGATTTTCCCCTCCCGATTTTCCCTTCCCCAAGTTGTATAGATCATTTGTAATACAATGTCTAGAGAGAATCACTGCTGCATTGGTTCACCCTTTGTCCCACTGTTTCTGTGATTTCCCTTCCCCTCCTCAAATTAAATAAACTTATACACATGACAAAGCATACAGAGATCAAAAGCAACAATCACCAGCAAGAACATGGAGTCTATGTTTGTTTGAGTCTGGTTTATTTCATTTAGTATGATTTTTTCCCAAGTCTTTCCATTTCCATACAAATGGGATGATGCCCTTCTTTATGATGGAAGAATTGAATCCCATTTTGTGTGTGTGTGTGTGTGTGTGTGTATCATATACATACTACATATATATCACATTTTCTTGCTGCATTCAACTAAGTGGATCACAATAACTCAATTGCTATGTACATATGACCATATAAGATGACGGTAAGCAAAATGAACTCCAAGATATGGAAACAGAAGGTTTTCCTTTATTGTTGTCATTTTTAATGTACTGCATGAAGTTATGTCTTTTTGGTTTCTTATTTCCTCCTTTGGTTTATCCCCTGTTGTCACTGTATTAGATTTTAGTATCCTGTGTCTTGTATATAAGTTTATCTGAATTAGGGAAGAGAAGAGGAATAAGAAAATGGTGAGACAAAGGACAAAGGATAACCTAATGCAACAGTGATACCCACAAGACAATATATTGGAACTGAACTTTATAACTTGGGCTGGGGGCAATTGGGAGAACAGGAAAGTTGGAGGAAAAGGAGGGAGGGGTTAACAATATTCAGCAAGAAATGTACTCACTACTTTACATATGTAAATGTAACCCCTCTCTACATCACCTTGACAATAAAATAAAATTTTAAAATAGAGCAACAATGAAATGTACAAGACACTTTGCTGTAAATGAACTTCACAACATAGCAGGGGGAGGGAGGAGTTGGGGAGGTGGGGAGGGAAGGGATGGTAGGGCAAAAACAAAGGAGGGGGTAACAATGCTCAATAGGAAATGTACTCATTACCTTACTCATGTAACTGTAACGCTTCTGTACAGTATTGTTACAATAAAAAATTAAAAAATAAAGCAACAAAAGGGAATAAACCAAAGAAAGAAAAGAGAGAGAGAGAGAGAGAAAGGAAGAAAGGAAGGAAGGAAGGAAGAAAGGAAGGAAGGAAGGAAGAAAGAAAGAAAGAAAGAAAGAAAGAAAGAAAGAAAGAAAGAAAGAAAGAAAGAAAGAAAGAAAGAAAGAAAGAAAGAAAGAAAGAAAGAAAGGAAGAAAGAAAGAAAGAAAGAAAGAAAAACTTGGAAACAGTACAGTAAAAAATATACCCAGAAAACCCTTGTTTCCATTTCTTGGAGTTCATTTCGTAAAGCAACATTTTATATATAGAGACATAGATATTGATCCCTGTGATCCTCTCCTAAGAATATCCTCCTTTGGTTTCACTGTGTGGATGTTTAGAGTCCTGTTTAATTTTTCATGTCCAAGTATAATTATTTGTCTTTTACTATCCATTGAGTTTACTTGTAGATTTATAGTCACATTCTAATTATTACAAATGAGGGAAGCTATACACCCTATGTTTCTTTGTATCTTGTATATTTCACTTAATATAATTTTTCCAATTATTTCCATTTTCCTACAAATAGGGCTGTGTCATTCTTTCTGAAGGAAGCGTAGAATTACATTTTGTGTGTATGTGTATGCATTATATATCATATTTTCTTTAATATCTTTAGACTCCATTCATAGAAAAGGATTGCTATACTTTTGTTTTAAAAGTTGGGTAGAAAATGTCATTAAATAAACATTTGGAATGCTAGCAGAACAATCCATGTTATGCCTTTCTCTAGGTTTTATCAATCAGCTTCATAGGCAAAAACAACAACAACAAAAAAGTTGCTGCCTTCAGGATATGAAGTCTCTGATCCCAGAAGTTGTATGTATGTTTCTTCTGGCTTGCTGCTCCTTGTCTTGCTGGAATTGGAGAGAGGCTATCTGTAAAGGTTTATAACACTGACCTCCAGCTCAAAGAAGTCCCTTACTTCATCTACAGTGCTCAATATTTTGCTACCTGAGAGAGGAAGAGCTTGTCTTGGGGGATTGTTTCATTATGATCTGTGGGCTGGTTTATTGAATTGCTCTGTATTCCCAGAACTCATAAATCAAACACAACGCTTTCATGAAAATGGTAGACCAACCACACAAATTGTCAACAACTAGCCTATTAGTTTTTCTTTGTATGTTTGTTTTTTGAGTTTTATGGGCACCATCAGAGGCAATTTTATATTTCTTTCTCTCTCTCTCTCTTTCTTTCTCTCTCTTTCCTTCCTTCTTTTTTTCCTTCCTTCCTTCTTTCTTTCTTTCTTTCTTTCTTTCTTTCTTTCTTTCTTTCTTTCTTTCTTTCTTTCTTTCTTTCTTTCTTTCTTTCTTTCTTTCTTTCTTTCTTTCTTTCTTTCTTTCTTTCTTTTTACTGTCCTGGTCCTAGTTCTTGAAATAAGGGCTTGCACATTGTCTCTGAGCTCCTTATTGCTCAATGCTAGCATCATTCTACCACTTGAGCCACCGTTCCATGTCTGGATTTTGTAGTTTTTTGGATGTAAGAGTCTCATAGAGCTTCCTTCCGAACCTGAATTCAAACTACAGTTCTCAGATCTCAGCCTCCGGGTAGCTAGGATTACAGGTGTAGGCCACCAGCACCCATTAACAGTTATATTTCAATCATGAGAAATAAATCTTCTTTTTTTTCTTTCATGAAAATAATTTTATTGCATTTCTTTGCTTCTTTGGATCTTTTTTCAATTAATTCTACCAAAAAATTTCAAGTGTGGTTGTTAATAATTCTCTAACACCTTCTCATGGACAAAGATGTGTGAGCACAAATGCCTTGCTTATTATTTCTTTAGTGTGAAAGACATATGTGAGAATTTAGAACATGGATAAACTGATTTCACATGTGATTATATATCCTAGTGACTATATATCTTGATTTATCAGAGAAACAGTTAAAAAAAAAAAACAAAAAAAAAGTGTCGCTCCTTTTTGCAAACATCTAGTTAAAATCCAGAATTAGGAAGCAAGCCTTTTGCTACAGACTGTCAGTGACATACATCAACAGTGAGTCATCTTCCCTGAAAAGAAAGCTATTTCTTGATATATTCTTTGGGAAATGAAAAATAAATTTATAGTATTACTGTAGAAAACTAGTGGAAGTATAAAAATACAGTAGACTTTCCTTAGAAAGAATATTGTTGATGTTACAAATCAAAACCAACAAGGAGGGGAAAAGGGTAGGCAAATGAAAAGAAGTTAGGGAGGGAATATTGGCAAGAATCCAATGTGCATTCAAAAACAATGGAAAGGGTGGGTTGAGAGGGGTAGATGAAAATGTTGAAAGGGAGGAGATTGTTCAAGATTCATTGTCTTCATAAACTGCTTTATTAAATGGTAAATCTTTTGTACAACTACTTAAAGATAATAATAAGCAACCAAAAAACAAAAACAGACAATGCTAAAATATGATCGACCTTTAAAAATCAGATCAAATTTATATTAACATTTGTGTCAAATAGCAATTTCAATTTGAAAAATGCAATTGTAAATAGTAACAGCTGTGGACAAAAGGCAAAACCCAGCTTCATTTTAGCAAATGTTGTCTTGATTAGTTTTAGGAGATAAAACACATAAAACTTAACCCACCTTTAGTCTAATAGAGCTGATTTTAAATGAATCTAATGCAGAAGGGTTGGTTAATAAGAAGAATTGCCTTAATCCTTCTAATCCTTAAGCAGATTATCTGCAAATAGATTGATTTCTAGTGGCCACAGACAGTGCATCATTATGGAACTGGAATTTTTGCTTTATAGCAAGCAGTAATAACTGTGCTTTGAAAAACACAAAATAAAATTCCAAAATCAAAGCATACACAGATGTACACATATAAAAATTGTCAATATTTGCTTAAACTCTAAATATTAAATTCATTAAACACACGTTTTACTGCAGGACTGTGTATTAAAAGATGGAAAATTCAAATTTTACATCTGCAGAATTTTTTTCTGGAATTGGACTCCATTCATTCTGGGACAGGTATATCTAAAGAAATAGAGTCAAAATACTATGTGTCTACATATTTACAATGAAGCAAAAGAGGGACTCCTGCTCCAAATCCAACCTTGAGTCTGGGGAAGGCTGGAGGTAGAATGCTTTCTGTCTCTGACCATTTCAGTCTTTTCTTAGAAGACCTGTCACTGATGGTAATTATGGACTCCCCCACCTATTCCAACAGAGGACAATCTGCATTTCTAAATCTACAGATGTAAGTGTTAAGTACAAGGAACTTGATGCTTACTTTGCATGTTTCATTGTCATCCTGGGTAGTAGCATTCTCTGCATGAGGAATACAGAAGTCCTCTAGGAGCCTTGTGTTGACTGTAGTTTATAGCCTGTTCTAGCCAAAGCAATGGTTGATTCCACCCACCACACTTTTTTTTTTTTTGCTCACAATCCTTGTCCATGCCCTTCATTGTCATTTTTTATTTATATCTGCAGTTTATGTCATCTTCCTTCAAATATCTGACAGGTTGACACTTTTCAAATATTTAAACCTTTTATGAAAAAGTGAATTTCTTAAAGCATTTAAAAACCATTTGATGAATTAAATGAAAAGTCAAAAGTACATGCAATCTTTTCAAATGAATTTTCGGAGGTCTGTAAATTTGTAAAGGTGCACATCATATGACTTTTTTAATTAAAAAAAAGAAATAAAAAACAAACAACCCTAGCGCTGTGAATGAATGTCATGTTGCAGGGTGGGTAAGGGACCTTTTCTCTGCCAAGAATCATGTGATGTGTGATGGGAGCTGATATTGATGCTTAGGTTGCTATGAAAAAAAAGCTCCTAGATGTAACTGAATTCTTGACTCTAGCCAGTGATTGTCCTAGTTGATGTGGAATGTACCTTGTGATAATGCCCATAGGCCAGATGATTCCATCAGTGTAGAACTCACCAAATACCTACTGCTTATAATTGTCTATAAATTAATGTTTGATCTCCCACATTGTCACTATATACACATGAGCTCTTGAGAGGTGTTACCGTAGGATTACCAAATCTAAACTGTTGGGAAATGATTTAAAAGGTGAAGTTAGATGGCTCTGGGATGATGAAATGAGAGAATGGAAAGAAGGGCTGGGAGGAAAGACTGTGTTTGCTTTTTATTTTTTGCAGCTTCATAGCTTAAGTTCAATCTACACATCAAATAATTGTTAAGCATAGACTATGTTCCAGGCACATAAAGTAACAGATGAAGACAAAGAAGATAATGGAGTCCCCTGTCCTCAAGATGGTCACCATGCACTGGCAGAAAAGACAACGCCATAAATCAGAATGTGGTTTTTTTTTAATTTTTAATTTAGTTTTTATTGTGAAAATACTATAAAAAGGGGTTTCAGTTACATGAGCAAGGTAATGAGTACATTTCTTATCCAGCATTGTTGCCTCCTCCTT